TGCAAATTACACCCTTATGCAAATTAATAGAAACAGTCGCTTTAATTTTTTCTTTCTTTCACCAGACGGTCAGTTTTAGACTCACTGAAGTGATAGGGCGCAGTCGATTTCTATTTTCTCCTCCGATTAGGTCATTTATAGTGGTGTATAGTAATATGAATATATTTTTGGGGTGTATGATGAAATTTGTTTGGCCTTGGAAAATATTGCGTCATCCGTGATTGCATCAGATGAAAATCTGATATAATCACGAATGACGCAATATTTTAAATCTTACTAGTTTAGTAACCACGTCGATGGGTATATCTTCTATTAAGTGGAGGTTACTAAACGCCCTGTTTCGGAGCAGCTTTCAAACACGAAATCTCACACATCCATTTCTTTTGACGTGTAACAACCAATTCTCGAAAGTTCTTTCCCCACCGGGGGGTGTACACAAATCCAATCTTTTACGTCTAGTTAACCTGACGACCGAACAGCAACTCCCCCCCCAAAAAAATTAATCTATAACTCATTGCCATGTTCAGCTCAGCCAATAAAAATTGACTTCCCTATTTAGTCTGCCATCTGACCTTAAATGTCAGCCTCAGAAAGTCTGAGCCAAAATACATTGACACTAAAAATTAATAGTCTGAAATAATTATTTAACAATAGTATATGAACAGCTTTTAGTATCTGTCTTTTGCAACAATGTTTTAATATTGAATATATGACCCAAGGTTCAGTATCACAGAGGAAAGCATTTTATAGATCGTTAGTTGAATCTCTTTGTTGTTAGTTTGGTTTTGCCAATTTCTTACCAATCGTTTTGTATAGTTTCATGTTGAATATGACACATACTGTAAAGTTAAAATCTTAGAATGCGTTCAACATTATGGTCCCTGTAAATACAGGTTGTATGCTTGAGTGAATGCAAGTTGTGGGGGGTGGCCATTAGACTGATTAAAATCTAAACCGAAGAGTTAGCCTTTGCAAACCATGGCGTTACTTGCAGAACAGACATTGAATAGACGACTCCAAACAGAACTTCTTTCAGAAACTGTAGTGTGTAGTGCTAGTGTCGGCTTGGAGCTGTTTTCCATTGATCTGTTCATTGTTTCTGTCATCATTCATCTCCTCTGAGGGCTGTTTTCATGGCACTTAGGAAAATATGAGTAAATAATGAATACTGACCAAAACACCTGCAATTCATTATGAAATATTTACTTGTAAAAATCAGTGACAAAATTTCATCAACTGTACTGCTGAGAATTGGTAACTAATTAAAAGTTTCCAAATAGAATCGCGACACCAATTCCACTAAATTCATTTCTTTTTACTTTTCCACTGCGACTTTAGAACAGATTTACAACGTTCATGTCGCCATCTTTTCTTGAAAACAGAAAGGTGACAAGTTTTTTTTTTCCTATTTACAGAACGTATATTATAATTGTGTACAAGTAAGGGGAGACTACTCTGTAATTTTATCTGTAGTATTTTTCAGAAAACCCACTTATGTTTCCCACAGATTTGCTAAAAGCCATTGAGAAAAGAAAGCTTTAACAACATTTTGCAAAGATTTTGTTTCATTTAGAATTTTACTTCGACAGCAGCAGATTGGTGTGCAATTCGTGAAGTTGTTGGCGGCTCTCGACGAAAAATTATCGAACCTAGTACAAAATCCATCCGAATTAATTGATTCTCCATTTCCACAAATATACTGAGGAAATTGGTGAGAATCCATCTCTTCCCCGGCTCCAGCTACGAGTCAAATTCAGAGCTTAATGGCCTCGCTATCCGTCGTTGCCAGTTTAGTAAAAACCGTATAAATTCTGGTGTAGAATATACTATACTTCTAATGTCAATAGTGATTTTCCAAGCGTAGCTTAGATGTGACACAAGGCCGAATGTATGGGGCACCCAGTGAGGATCGAACTCACTATTCAGTTGTAACTGATCTAGCAATTACTAACCTTTCTAACCTTTACACCATGTCGGGATGCCCTACTGCCAATATCAATATTACGGAGTTCAGAATGACTATAATTTCGACTGTGTCAAAATATTATTATTATTATTATTATTGCAAGCTGGTGGTTGGTCCTTAAGTAAATTTCAACTACTTTTATGTATCATGACTCCCTAGGACGTGGGGGGGTCCTCAACAGCCTCTTGGGACTCGAAGCAACGTTTGAATACTTTGATATCTCTCTGTGTCTCTGCTTTGTTGTCTATTCATACAAGCTCTTTATGTTGCTTACTTGATGTTTTCTCCTGCGTACGATATGTTCTGTGAGTATTAAAATTTCCAAGCTGTCTCTCCTCGTAATGTACCATGAAATTTCAACTGCATCTTTCTGATTTTAAGTATATGGCTTTTTAATTCCCATTTTCCTGAAAATATCCTCATTGATCATAAATTCAGTCGATGGCATTCTCAGCATCCATCTGTAGAACAGCATTTCTATCGCTTAGCGTCTTGTCTTTATCAGAAAGGAAATTGTCCAACATTATCTAACATATAGTAGGCGTGATATCACATTTCAGCACTCTTTTCTTTCTTGCTTGCTAACGATGTTTTCTTATGTCTTAATACTTTGTTTGGCTTCTGTATGACATCTATCGCTATTCGAATTTATGTATCACATTTTTGTTGTTTGTAATTACACAACCCAAATAGTTACATTTCTATAGCTACATTATTTTGACATTTTGGATTGTCTTACAAGCTGATGATCATATATTCTGTCTTTTATTCTTGCTTTCTTTGCTACCATCTTTATTAGTTCTTTCAGCTTTCCTTTTGTCATGGAAACAGTGTCTTCTGCCTATCTTACGCTGTTAAGATTATATCCACTGATAATAAATCCTAGTAGGACTTCTAGTTCTCTTAGGACTGTCTTGCTGTATAGGTTTGTTTAAAAGTTCAATAAGAAAAGGCATCTTTGTCTTACTTTTCCTATTTTTGTATCTTTTGTCGTTACCTATTTGAATACACGTGTTTTGTTCACAGTAAATGTCACGAATTCTTTTCATATCTTTCCCATATATATCAACATTTCCAAACAGTTCCAACACCTTTGAGTCCTACTTATATAAAATATTTTGCGTAATTTATAAAACATAGTTCCATTTGCACTTGTACTGCTCGCTTTGATATATTTCTGATTATAAAGACAGCATTATTAAAGAAATCTATGCCTGCTCTATTTTCGCTCTAAACCTGCTACGAGCTCTATTCCTAGTTGATCGACGGATGGAGCTCGCATTCATCTACGCCCGGCAAGATCTTCGAGGTACCAAGATATCAGATATTTCATTTATTATTTCCGCAATCGTGTCGATCCTGAAATCTTCTAAAACTGAAAACGTCTTTATTACAATACGTCTGGCCCTACTGCTTTGTTGCTGTTCAAATCGGTCACTACTGATTTTGACTTAGTTTTTTAATATTTCAAGTCCTTCCATGTTGTTATAAATTGTGGTTTTCTTTCTTTTGTTGTTTTAGAATACATATCCGATGTATTTCCTTCCATCTTTGAATGACATCTTCATTGCCTATATAAGCATTCTGTTTTAAGATTTGATGCATCCTGTCAAACAGCTGCCTGACATTTCTATGTTATGTAGTGTTTCTATCACCTAGACCCATTCATCTTTTGCCTACTTGCATCTCTTTATATATACATAATCCCGAATCAGCAGGAGTTGTTTTTTGGTTAAATGATTTTTTATACATACAGGAGTACACTCAAGTAAAGGTTGATTTTTTTTAAATAAATTGTAGAAATATTCATTATGGGAGGGTAAAATAAAAAATGGCAAATGATTATACAGTAAATAAGTAACGACATTACATAAAAAATTCCTTTGTGCGGGATGCGACTTCGAATTTTTTTGTAATTTAAATTGGTAGCCGATGAATAGTACAACCGAAGATATTTTGTCAGAAAAAGATGAAAGCTTCTATACAGTACTCAGTAAAAAAAAACAAAAAACAAAAAAAAGCGGCAAATTTATTCTCACTGTTTTATCTTTCAGGAATAATTGACCTTGAATTATCTTAAATAATTTTTTTGAATATTCATTGCCTTGAATAATCATTCGACTCCCGCGTAATTACATAACTCTGATTGGTTCTTTTATGATTGATTAATTTCTGTTCGATTTTATGACTCACCATTTAAAGGTTACTTGCAAACATCTTGTCCTTCGCTCTTCCCTTCTCGGATGGCGAAAGAACTGATTTTGAGCGTCAAATTATCGTAATGAATTCGTATCGAAATGAGCAGAAATTCTTCCTGATTTTTTCATTTACATCAGTCGTCACAAGTTTTCAACGGTTGCCTCACGTCTTCCTGAATTTACCACTTTTTTTACTTGGTACCTTGCATTTAAAAGAATCGCATACTTAATATAAGATAACAAAATATATAACATCTCGTTCGAAAATAAAGCAAGTTATCTCATTTTCTGGACAATTATTGAATATTAAAACATTATTTTTATATAAATGTTTACAATTTTGTATGAGGAAATACGTCTCTTTGTCGAAGTGCGTTTCTTTGTAGAACTCTTCAACAAAATGTCTTCTCTACAGTAATTTTATTCTTCTCGCTTTTTAACCCTCAAAATATATCTAAACAAAAGAAAAGTACTTCTGCAATTGACTACAAATATAAGATACCTTCTGCCGTCTGGATGATTGATCTGATTCGATTTGCGGATGTTTTATTGGAATAATCCAGTCCCTAATTGAATCAAACGCAGCCACTGTTGATCTTACCTTTTTATTTGACCAGAGAAAAAAATGTCGTCTTTTTATTGTTCTTTTCTTCGGCCACTTCAACCAAATGTTTTGCTATGACAAACCTTCGATTTCATATTATGTCTCTCTTTCTTTTTTCTTTTTGTGTTGTTTTTATCGATTATGTGTTTGCTGGTTTAATTCACTGATTGAATTTCTTCCTCATAAAGAGAATAAGAACGAATGTAAGTTACATAGGAAAATTAGGGCCAACTGTTGGCATTTAATTGTGTATTGCGGGAAAAGTAGAAAGAAAGAAAGAAAGAAAGAAAGAAAGAAAGAAAGAAAGAAAGAAAGAAAGAAAGAAGGGAAGATAGTAGTGTTTAATGTTTTTGGACAATTTCTCATAGATAATGGACTATTCCGTTTTGATCCCATGAAAAACTGAAAAGACATATTAGAGACTTCAGGGAAAAAAAGAAAGAAAGAAAGAAAAATAAAATAGTAGAAAGAAAGAAAGGAAGGAAGGAAGGAAGGAAGGAAGGAAAAGGAAGGAAGGAAGGAAGGAAGGAAGGAAGGAAGGAAGGAAGGAAGGAAGAGAGGAAGGAAGGAAGGAAGGAAGAGAGGAAGGAAGGAAGGAAGGAAATAGATGACGCAGCCAAATGAATAGAATTTAAAGACAAAGAAATAAGAAAAGTTACATTTAGAAAAAGAAAGAAAAAAATAAATCGAATGACGTATTTGTCAGCCTTCCCATTTAAATAAAATTTAGAACAAAGCTTTTGTAATGTGGGTCACTAGACACCATAACACATTGTTTAGCACGTAACGCAAAGTTCTACATTTCTTTAATTTCCTCGTCCTTGCTTTTGACATGCCGCAAATGAAGACCAGGTCTCTTGATTCCCAGGCACAATTGACTCGGAATATATTTACAAATTTTAGCTTAGTTTTGACACAGTTTCATAAGCATGAATCACTCTGTAAGCCCCGTACGCTCTACTCAAAGTCTAGCTTATTAACCACTACAGAAAGATTTGGTAGCACATCAGAAGTAAAAGGGGAGAATGTTAAGTAGAAGTTTATAAAAACGATGCGTTGAGGAATTGACAAAGGTCAGAATCAGACCCAAGTTCCAATCGTGCGCGTCTCTAGATTGCCATTGACGCCATTGAATTCAATCATCTGAACGCTGAAGCCAAGAAGAGGCTCACTGCACATGCGTAGATCAAGTAAAGATTGGCATGAGTGTGTTGAGAAATCAAATGAAATCATCAACTCGGAAAGCTGAAAAAGAAAAGTTTAAAAACTGGAGATTATTGAATTTGTTCTCAGGCTAATATTTATAGTGTTTATTTTTTATATTTGCTCTTGTTCCTGTTACTCGGGCGCCTGCAAGGAGGCGGGCTGAAAAGAAGCTATCGACGGTTGGTTGCCAGTGGCGTTTCTGAAGAGTGTGCCGCATGAGGACACTACGTTTCCAAAGGCTCTTCGTTCCTTAACTTACAAAATGGAATATTTTCATTGGAATATTGCTTTTTTGTTACCCTTAATTTTGCTTTTCTACATTTATTTATTTTCTTTTGTTTTATTTCACAGTTAGAGTTTCGTAAAAGTTACTATTTCGTTTCCTCAGGTTGGATTTTTCTTTCGACTGTGTTTTGTTGTTGGTTTTTTTTTTCATTCTTTTTCGGTCGTTTTTCGTTGTACTTTTATTTCGGTATCAATAAAGATTTTACATAAAAATTATTAAACTTTATTCTCATCATAATTATATTTTATTCTTTACTTTCGTTTTCCATTTCTTTCCTTCAAGGCCTGTCATGACTGTTAATTTCTGTTTTAATTTCTATGATGAAGAATTATCATTAATATACACCGATTGCTTTGAACTTGTATCCCAGTGTTGGTTGTTACAGTCACAACGTTTCTACCGTGTTCCCCTCTATCCATCGTCAGAAGCTTTTTATCACCTGTAAGGTTCTTGGAATTTTGAAGTGAAATCTTTTTTTTTTTTTCAATTCATGGGTATGACTCTTATCTATGGAGAATACAAAATATCGTCGAATATAGACATCGAATTAAGAACAATCTTTTACCTGATTTTATATTTGTTTCTTCATTTACTAAGATTCGGCTTTCTGTTATTTGTTAATCGATATCCTAGTCTGACTAGTAAACTTAAAATGTGGAGAACCACTTAGGTTTGAATTCGCAGTAACTGGTCTTGCTTCTTGAGGTACTGAAAGTTACCAGAGAGTTTTTACCTAATTCAGCTGCTCAACTGAAAAGGCTCTGAACATCACGAATTTTAAAGGTGCTTCTATAAAATGTAGAAGTATCCCATGATTAGACGTTTTCCAATAATTTAACAATTTCTTAGGCAGATCTTTAATATAAAACAGAAAGATGGTAGGAATCTGATTTAGGGTACATGGGCTTTCATAAATCAAGCCATTCAAATGACTTAACTGGGAGAAAGGACATGAGGTATATAAAAGCTTATCTAGAGTTACCACAGCTGAAGAGTTTGTGTTGCCACCCATTACGTCACACCACGTCAACAGCCTTTGAAATATCGTTCTCATGAGGATGCTATCACAGACGGGTATCACTAATTGTGAATTTAATAATTAAGACGTCAGTATTAAACCTAAAATAGTGAAACCTGTAATGTTTTTTACTCAAGATATTTCTGGTGATGTGGTCAAATACCCCCTTGTTGATAATAGTCTAAAAGTGTTTTCTAGTGACATTAGGAGAGTTAATGAGGCTATATTGCGACGGGGTGAATGCACGAATGCATTCGGGAAATCAAAACAAATAGCTAACAACTTTAACAGATTTTGAAAACATTTCTCTTTCTGACGGCAGTTAAAATTATCAAGACTGAAAAAAAGTTAGGACTAAAATTCTTCAGTACAATAACAAGGATTTTATCGGACCAGCTGTCTTTGTTGAGTCATGAATTTGATGAGGCGGGAAACATCTCAAACCGAGATAAGAAAATAATCAACTGTTTTTCATAACTAGAATGTTACATATCGATGGCTTATATGAAGGCATTCAATCAAGTATCCATGTTTTTAAAAAGTAATTAATCTTATTAATGCAGATGTAGGATAAAAGTAAACATAGTACTCTGAATTAGTCAACACGAAGTAAACGCTTATATCACTCAGCTTATTACAGGCGAAAAGAAGGGATATATTCTGATCCAGATTGGAACATATTCCAGTCTGTTTCATCCCCAGTGAAAAATGAACATGTCCTATTTACATAGAGAGTATTTCACATACTAGCTTTCAAAATCTTGGAATATTTCTGTTACACCGGTTCGGTGTGATGTTAGTAATGATGTTAGTAAAATCTACTGGCTCCGGAAGCAAGAGCACCCCCTAACGAGTCGAAGCTGTAATTCTATAGTCCACAGGGAGGGTTAAAAACAACAATGACAATAATAATGGATTACAAAATGAACGAGCTAAGAATTGTTCTATGTGAACATGTCCTGGTTTTTACTGAGACTACGTCTAGAATAAGGTATTAATTGTGAGTCCTCCAGAAATACACACGATAGTAACAACAGTTCATGAGATTGAATTGATAACAATTTCTCCACAGCAAAATCCTTAGTTATTTATTTTGCTGACTTTCATGAGATTTTCATTTAACTTAATCTTTGCTCTTTTTACTTGATCCTGTTTTTCTTTCCTTCTTTCTTTGCCTTCTCTTTCCACATCTTCTTTTCCGTCTCCCCACCTACTTTGTAATTTTTTCTTTCTTATGTAATTCTTTCTTCATTTTGCTGATTATCTCTTTCTCTCACCCTCATTCTTATTTTCTTCCCTTCTTTATTCATTTTGCTGATTATCTCTTTTCTTTCACCCTCATTCCTATTTTCTTCCCTTTCGTTCTTCATTTTGCTGACTTCTCTCTTTCTCTTCATTCCTATTGTCTTCCCTTTTTCTTCATTTGCTGACTTCTCTCTTTCTCTCACCTCATTTTTTATTTTCTTCCCTTCTTTATTCATTTTGTTGATTATCTTTTCTCTCACCCCATTCTTATTTTTTTCTTCCCTTTTTATTTTTGCTGACTTCTTATCATTCTTATTTTCTTCCCTTCTTTTCTTCATTTTGCTTGACTTCCCTCTCACCTCATTCTTATTTTCTTCCCTTCTTTCTTCATTTTGCTGACTTCTCTCTTCTCACCCTCATTCCTATTTTCCTTCCTTCTTCATTTTGTTGACCTATTTCTCTCACCCTCATTCCTATTGTCTTCCCTTCTTTATTCATTTTGCTGACGTCTCCCTTTCTCTCACTCTCATTCCTATTTTCTTCCCTTCTTTATTCATTTTTTTGATTATTTTTTCTCCCCCCATTCTTATTTTCTTCCTTTTTTATTCATTTTGCTGACTTCTCTTTTCTCTCACCTCATTCTTATTTTCTTCCCTTCTTTCTTCATTTTGCTGACTTCTCTCTTTCTCTCACCCTCATTCCTATTTTCTTCCCTTTTTTCTTCATTTTGCTGACTTCTCTCTTTCTCTCACCCTCATTTTTATTTTCTTCCCTTCTTTATTCATTTTGCTGATTATCTCTTTCTCTCACCCCCATTCTTATTTTCTTCCCTTCTTTATTCATTTTGCTGACTTCTCTCTTTCTCTCACCCTCATTCTTATTTTCTTCCCTTCTTTCTTCATTTTGCTGACTTCTCTCTTTCTCTCACCCTCATTCTTATTTTCTTCCCTTCTTTCTTCATTTTGGTGACTTCTCTCTTTCTCTCACCGTCATTCCTATTGTCTTCCCTTCTTTCTTCATTTTGCTGACCTCTCTTTCTCTCACCCCCATTCTTCTTTTCTTCCCTTCTTTCTTCATTTTGCTGACGTCTCGCTTTCTCTCACCCTCATTCTCATTTTCTTCCCTTCGTTCTTCATTTTGCTGACTTCTCTATCTTTTTCTTTTTTCTCTCTCATTCCTATTTTCTTACCTTCTTTCTTCATTTGGTGTTTTTTGTTTTCTTTCTCTTTCTCTCTCGCTCTCTCACTCTCATTCCTATTTTCTTTCTTTCTTTCTTCATTTTACTATCTACTCTTTCTTTCTCACTCACATTGCTATTTTTTTCTTTTCCTTCATTTTTTTTGTCTTTTTTCTCTCTTTCTTCATTTTGGTGTTTCTCTCGCTTTCTCTTACTATCACTCTCATTCCTATTTTCTTTCATTCTTTCTTTCTTTTGCTGTCTACTCTTTCTCTTTCACTGATTACTATGACTTTTGCCTTTCTTTCATTTTCTATTCTTTATTAAATTTTGCTCGCTTAGCCTTTTATTTAGCTTTTACTTTTCTCCCTTGGACTTTTCCCCCTTGGACTTTTCTTCCTTGGACTTTTCTCACTTCTCCATTTTCTTATTTCCTAATGCAATTGCTCTACACTGATGATCCCGTCCTAGGTATGACGATAAACTACATCCGGCAGCCAGTCCTGGGTATGACGATGAATTATATCCGCGTCCAGGGTAAGACGATAAACTACGTCCGCGTCCAGCATATGACGATAAACTACATCCGCACTCTGGGTAAGAAGATAAACTCCATCCGCGTCATGGGTATGACGATAAACTACGTCCGCATCCTGGGTATGAAGATAAACTACGTCCGCATCCAGGGTAAGACGATAAACCACATTCGCGTCCTGGATATGAGAGTAAACTACATCGGCGTCCTGGGTATGTCGATAAACTACGTCCAATAGCAAGACCTCTGATCAGAAGGTTTTGAGGAACGTGGAACCACCTCTTAATTGCTGGTGTTTCCAGGTTCACCCTAACCCGAGGTGGTAGCACCTGTTAGGGTCCCACCTATGGGCAAATAGTTAACACTCATACTTGTGTAAAAATAGGTTTTAATACCAGAAATACTTTGTAATAAAAATATGATTCAAATATATATATATATATACATACATACATTTTTTACCAAACTATTGCTATGAATCTATTTCAAAATTTGGGGGGCATTAGATGACCCACAGAGGTTGATATGCCATAAAACAAAACAACCAACCTACACTGATGATCCAAATTTCACTATTTGCTCGTGAGGGTTTAGGGATCTGTCTCCATTCTATGCCACAACGTCTATTTCTTTTTTCTCTCCTGTTACTTTTCTCATCTTCCATTTTGTATTCATTTCCTCTGTTTTTTAATCTTCCTTTTTTTATCACCTTTTCACTGTTTGCCTTTCTTTTTCACATTCTTTTTCACTTTCTTTTTTCTTTATTTTGTTTGTTTCTCATTCCATATTGTCTTCCTTTTCGAATTTTTCTTCTCAATCAATGCCAACATTAATGAGTTTCTTGCCACTATGCTCACCCCGTGATAAAACTATATGACAGGAAGTTAGGGTTAGGGTTAGGATCCCTTAGGATTCGCAAAGGTGGCACGCTTGCTTTGAAAATCAGCATTCGCAAT